TGAAGGAAGCAAACCCACAGATCAATTGGAAGGAGGGCAGCATGACCTTCCGGAGCGAAGAGAGGGGGGAGTGTTGCAGGGGGGAGGAAGGCACGGCAGGCGGAGCGCAGGAAATTCCCCCTGAGTATAGAGACTTTGAAGATGTGTTTGACGAAAAGGAGGCAGATCAGCTTCCCCCCCCTAGAAGGGTCGAGGTAAAAATTGAACTCAATGAGGACGCCAAGTTGCCCAGGAGTAGATTATACCCCATGTCGGTCAAGGAGATGGAGGAACTGAGAAAATATATTGACAAAAACTTGGCCCGAGGGTTCATAAGGCCATCCGAATCACCGTTGGGGGCCCCAGTGTTATTTAGGCACAAAAAGGACGGCTCATTGAGGCTGTGCGTGGACTACAGGGGACTGAACGCGGTGAGCACAACCAACAACTACCCAATGCCACTGACCAAGGACTTGCTATCGAGACTGTCAGAGGCAAGGGTGTTCACGAAAATTGACTTGATTGAGGCTTATCACAAGCTACGAATAAGACCCGAGGACAGGTGGAAAACGGCGTTTACCTGTGCGCTCGGCCATTTTGAATATTCTGTCTGCCCTTTTGGACTTAAAGGCTCTGGATCAGCATTTATGCAAATGATCAATGAGGTTTTGCACCCATTATTGTATCGCGGGGTTTATTGCTTTGTGGATGATGTAATCGTGTTTAGCCGTGATAGACGATCTCATGTTAGGTTGGTGAGGGAGGTGCTCCAGAAATTGAGGGAGGCAAAATTGTTCGCAAAGCTGGCAAAGTGTGAGTTCAATAAGGAACAGATAGATTTCCTGGGGTACCGAATCTCCAAGGGCGGAATAGCAATGGATCCATCAAAGGTAGAGGATGTTAGGGAGTGGAGCCATCCCCAAACATGCAAGCAACTGCAATCCTTCCTCGGGTTTGCAAATTTCTACCGAGGGTTCATAGAGGATTTTGCCCAAGTAACTCTACCCTTAACCGAACTGCTAAAGACAAAGGGAAAGGGGGAAACGGTGAAGGTACGATCCCCGGGAGCAAAATTAAATTGGTCACCAGAGTGCCAGAAGGCGTTTGAGGAACTGAAACGCAGGTTCACAGAGGAACCGGTCCTAAGCCACCCTGATCTGAGTAAGCCGTTCGTGATCCACTGTGACGCGTCAGATTGGGCGTATGGGGCAGCCTTGATGCAGAGAGATGGGGAGGGGAGGTTGAAACCCTGCGGGTTCATCTCAAAGAAATTCAGCGAAACTGAACGGAACTGGCCAGTGTGGGAAAAGGAAGCCTTGTCGATCTTGAGGGCCCTGGAGACATGGAGACACTTGTTGGAGGGAAGCGGCATACCCTTTGAGGTATGGACCGACCATAAAAATTTACAATATATCACTTCGCCCAGAAAATTATCGGCAAAACAGATAAGATGGGGCCAGTTCTTCAGCAGATTTGATTTTAAGCTAAGGTTTCAAAAAGGGAAGCAAAATGTGGTCGCAGATGCATTGTCAAGATTGCCGGAGAAGGAAGGGAGGGGGCAAGGCCCAAAGGGGAGCATATTTTCGGAACAACAGTGGGGCATGGCAGTGCAAACTCGAGCACAGACAGAGCGCAACCAAAGACTGGTAGGAGTTGAGAGTAAAGACGGGGGATGGGAAGAGGAGTTAAGGCAAGCATGCAAGGAGGATGAGTGGTTGGAGAGAAACAAGGAAAAGGTGGAATGGAAGGACGGATTGGGGTTTGTGAACAGGAAATTATACATCCCAGGCAGCCTAAGGGAAAAAAATGTTGATTAGGTGCCATGGCAGCAAGGGAGCAGGGCACTGGGGGATGACAAAAACCCTAAAAATGTTGGCGCGTCAATGTTGGTGGCCCGGGATGAGGGGTGACACCAAATTGTATGTATCCCGATGTAATGTGTGTGCACAAAGTAAAGCAACCACACAGAAGCCAACGGGGTTATTGCAAAAGGTGGCAGAGCCATCACAACCTTGGAGGGTAATTGCTATGGACTTCGTGGGCGAACTTCCAATTAGCCGGGGCCAACGATACATATGGACAGTAATGGACTTGTTCTCAAAACAGGCACATTTCATAGCGCTGCCCAAGTTGCCATCCGCAGAAAAGTTGGCTGAGTTGTTTATCAAGCATATATATCGGCTGCATGGCTGCCCTGAACAGGTGATCAGTGATCGAGGGGTGCAATTTACGGCCCGATTCTGGGAAAGTTTCATGCAATTGATGGGAGTAGAAAGAACCTTGAGTTCGGCATTCCATCCCATGACCAATGGGGGAGTCGAGCGCACACAACAGACTTTGGGGTTGTTCCTAAGGACATACACAAACCATTGCCAAACCGATTGGGCTGACTTACTTCCGTTTGCAGAAATCGCATACAATGGAGCCTGTCACGCATCCACGGGAAAATCCCCTTTTGAGATAGTATACGGCATGGAAGTAACCCCTTTGCCTAAGTTGCCGAGCTGGGGGGAGGAGCCATGGGGAAAGGAAGGGTGGCCAGATAAAGTGAAAGCGAATTGGGGAGAAGTGACGAATTCGCTCAGAGAAGCTCAACGAAGGTATAAGTTATTTGCGGATAGGAAAAGGAGGGAGGGTGATAAGTTGGAAGAAGGGGAACTGGTGTGGCTGAGCACCAAAAACCTCAAGTTGAACACCCTCCCGAAAATTATCTCCTAAATACATCGGTCCGTTCAGGATTTCCAATAAGATAAATGATGTGACATATACGTTGAAACTGCCAAGGGTTTTGGGGAAGGTACACCCAACATTTCATTGTAGCCTATTAAAGAAATACCAAGGCCCCCTGGATAAAGAAGGAACATGATGTTATTGTATAATTCCCTTCCAGGAAGAAGAGGAGGAGGAGGGGGACGTTATGTCAGGACTCGGTTTCCTGACCTTGGCGCAAAAAACCAGAATCCTGACATGGAGAGCCGATAAGAGTATGCAGCTGGTGGCCTTGGGAGGAGCAGTTGGTGGTTGGCGGGGAACATTGAGCGGGAACTACGGTTGGCAGGAAAAAGGGATTCGAATACGGGGAGGGTATATAAGGGTTAACTTGAGACTGTGTGCCAATCCTGGCTTTCGTTGTGTATGCATATCCAGTAGTAAAGGTTTCCTGATTGATTACGGATCGGCATCCTGTGTCATTCTTGGGGCGGCTGCTGGGAGCTTACAGTTTTGCATTGTTTCACAATGCAAAACCGGGATTGTGGCGCAGCTGGCTGAGTGTCAGCTGCATTAAGATCACTCTGACCAAAAGGTCATGAGTTCGAAGCCAGCCCAGGTTAGAGTGGGTTTCCAACCAATTGTGTGTAGCCTGTTGTCGACCTTTGCAACCCGAAAGACAGTTGCATCTGTCAAGTAGGAAAATTAGGTACTGTTGGGGTTCAGCCTGCTCTGTGTGAACCTGATCAGTGTAGACCTGATTCTCTGATAGTATTTCCAACTGAGCAAGCCATTGAACATGTAGTTTTCCCTGACAATGTGGAAACTGGTGTTGATGCTGAGTTCAGCGGCGGGGAAAACGAAACTGAACAGCCGGATGAAAATGTTTTGGAATCCAGCCGTGATAGCTCTCCACCTGGGTTTTTTAATGAGGACCGAAGGGAACAGATAACGAGAGACAGGAGTGATTCACAGTTCCTACGAAGGTCAAATAGATTACAGGAGAGACAGGCTCAGGCTTCAAAGTCAAGGGGCGTTTCAAGGAATAGTTTCTTGGGTATAAGGGGCCGCCTGCTAGGTGCCTCCTTAGATCAAGCAACGTTTGGGACTGTGGCTGTGCCTTGGCAGAATTCCTGTGTTCCATGGCCGGGAATCCCAGAGGCTTCTAGTTTTTCAAGTACATGGTTAGCGAGAGGCTAACAGGCTCCTGGTTCTTGTCTTGTGTTTTTTTGGACTTTTGCTCAAGTTCAGAGATTTCCCTGACTGCTGTGTTTCTATGGTGGCTTTTTGACTTTGCAATTGCTTTTTGACTTTGCATTTAACTTTCTTTTGTAACCAATTTCTCATCAATAAAAAAGGATTGTTTTTCCTACAGTCCAGTGTGGTGGATTTAATCTTATGGTCTCGTTTCTTGGCCTGGGATGCAACAGGTACCACCTTAAAGTGTGGGGAGGCTAAATTAACTAATTTATGAGGCCATAAAGAAGACTCCAGCAGAGCATTCCAGCGGGGAAGCATGCGGGGAATGCGGAAGTACTTCATCAGCATCGCAGATGGAAGATGAAAGCAACAGCTCCCCTGGTGGCCAGAAAAAGTTAAATAGCCTCTGTGTATGTCTGTATATGTTTGTATGTCAAAAATTGGCATTGAATGTTTGCCATATATGTGTACACTGTAATCCACCCTGAGTCCCCTGCGGGGTGAGAAGGGCAGAATATAAAAGCTGTAAATAAATAAATAAATAAATAAATAAAATTTTCATCTTTTTGTCACCCTGAGATCCTACCACAGAATCATAGAATCAAAGAGTTGGAAGAGACCTCATGGGCCATCCAGTCCAACCCCCTGCCAAGAAGCAGGAAAATTGCATTAAAATCACCCCTGACAGATGGCCATCCAGCCTCTGTTTAAAAGCTTCCAAAGAAGGAGCCTCAGCCACACTCCGGGGCAGAGAGTTCCACTGCTGAACGGCTCTCACAGTCAGGAAGTTTTTCCTCGTGTTCAGATGGAATCTCCTCTCTTGTAGTTTGAAGCCATTGTTCCGCGTCCTAGTCTCCATGATACCATGTAGGACTGAGATAAACATTTTGATAGATAAATAAATAAATATATGCAAAGTGAGGGCAGGTGGTTTGTAGTCCTTCAGATATGGTTGGACTACAACTCCCATCAATTCCCACTACTTCCATGGTCGCTAAGCCAAAAGTTGTATTTTTCCCTCCCCCCACATGCATAATTTGCAAAGGAGAAAGAAGGTGAGTGAAAGAAAGCATTTTAACTGTGATAAAGAATCTTTGGGTTCCCCCTCTTACTCTTGCAGGGTGTTGTGATCTTGAGGAGCTTGAAAGCCTGGAGGAATGGGTGGCGGTGGTGGCAACAGCAAACCAGCAAAGTTCTTTGAAGTACTGTGCTGCAAAAACCTTGGGGAGCTGTGGTTTTTTTTCACCGCCTTTTTTGTTTCCCCTAGGAAGAAACAAAGGCATGGTTAGCTGCTTCCAATACATCCACAATTTTCAGTTATCACGATGGCCCAGATGTGTCAGAAAACCAACATCTCCAGTTAGCTGAATATCCCACCAACTCTTAAACACACTTCAGTCTATCGATCTATTACTCTCCCACCCTCAAAACCTCACAACCTGATAGTAAAAGTTCTACTGGGTTGTTATAGGTTTTTTCGGGCTATATGGCCATGTTCTGGAGGCAATTTTTCTCCTGACGTTTCGCCTGCATCTATGGCAAGCATCCTCAGAGGTAGTGAGGTCTGTTGGAACTAGGAAAAATGGGTTTATATATCTGTGGAATGACCAGGGTGAGACAAAAGACTTTTGTTTGCTGGGGCTAGCTGTGAATGTTTCAGCTGATCACCTTGATTTGCATTCAATGGCTTGGAAGCGCCTGGGGGGAATCTTTTGTTGAGAGTGATTTCATGTGCTCTCAACAAAAGATTCCCCCCAGGCGCTTCCAAGCCATTGAATGCAAATCAAGGTGAAACGTCAGGAGAAAAATTGGCTCCAGAACATGGCCATATAGCCCGAAAAAATCTACAACAACCCAGTGATTCCGGCCATGAAAGCCTTCGACAATACAAAAGTTCTACTATTTTTAGGAAGGAAGTCCCAGAAATAGAACACATGATTTTCATGCAGAAGGTTTTAGTTTCGGTTCCCACCATGCTCAGATCTCCAAGATCCATTGTGATGTCTAGTTCATTTTCCTCCTCTGCTCTCTTCATTGTCTCTATCCAGTGCCACTTCCAGCACCTCCTCAAAACACAGCAGTTAGTACCTACGAGGGTTGAATGAAAAGTAATGCCTCCACCTTCGTTACTTGGGTTTGGATGGGAATATTTTTAAAAAATCAAACGCAGAAATAATCCCTAGAATGTGCTCTTTAACTACCACTATTCACTTTTCCACATAATCACCAGACAATTGGATACATTTCTGCCAACGATGAACAAGTTTTCTGAAGCCGTCACAGAAGACGCCGACACTCTATTTCCACAACCAATGTCTCACAGTTCTCTCAATATCTGCATCAGAAGTGTAATGATGTCCCCACAGATCTTCTTTCATTATCGGGAACAGATGGAAGTCAGCCGGTGCTAAATCTGGACTCTATGATGTCGTACGGTAGTGAGATCCAGTCTTTGAAGTTTCAAGTCTGTGTGATTTCATTTCAGGTATCAGCATCCTGGGTACCCATTATGCACAGATCTTCTGATAGCCAACCAAAGCAATAATGTGACCCACACGTTCTTGTAAAATGCCAATTATGCTTGAAATTTCTCTCTGAGTGATATGATGATCATTCTGAATCAATCTGTCAATCTTTTGCTTGTGAAACTCAGTGGTTGCTGTCACAGGACGTCCAACACTTTGTTTGTCACACAAGTCAGATGTTCCCACCTCAACATCTTTAAACTTACTTGCCCAATGACGCACAGTACTCACATCATCACAATCACCATAAACAGCTTGCATTCTCTCATGAATCTCCTTTGGGGTGATATCTTCTGCTGTCAAGAATTCAATGACTGCACGTTGCTTAAGTCGCATTGATTGACCATCTGCACAGGATTCCATACTTTGCACTTTAACAACACTATTTATTTATTTATTTATTTATTTATTTATTTATTTATTTATTTAGCAGTTTTGTATACTGGTCTTCTCACCTCCATTCGAGGGACTCAGGCCGGTTTCCAACATCAATATTACAGACAACCATTCAATGCTGAGGCTTCCTGCCAAAATGAAACTGTAGAGGAGATTCTACAAGCTAGTACCTGCTGCACACCAGTACTGCCATCTGTTGAGGAGTTACGAAGGTAGAGGCATTACTTTTCATTCAACCCTCGTATATATGCCTGGAACTTTGTGTCTGGAAAGCTCACCTCTCCAGATATCCACTTAAGACATGGATTGCGACATCTGAGCCAATTAGTGCCATGGTGTAACTAGTGATAGGAGCTAGCACAAACTCCCCAAAAGACATATGAAATCTGGTGCCAGATGAGACCTTCTCACGTATCACCCCCATCCATTTGAACAAAGTTTATGGGGGTATCCAGATCCTCCTTTAGAAGTCCCAATCCTGTGGACACAGTGGGACTCATGAGACATCTGGTACACCTAAAGACTAGCATGGCTACTAGGTCCATATCCCACTTCCATTAAGTTTCTCAACTTGACCTGCACAAAAAGGGGAGTTGCGCCACTACTCATCTTGGTCTTGGTGTGTCTACTTTGCCCACTCTTTGGTACTTTTAAAGGCAGGCTCTCTTTGTTTCTTGCCGGTCCTCCATCACTCCTCTGAAAGATCTGCATTCAATGGCAGTTGCTTTGCCATTGAATTTTTTTCTTGGCTGCTTCTGTATGTATTTGCTGATTGCAGTACCACCTCTTTACCTGGGCAGGATGCTGCCAGATGGCATGGGCATAACCCGAGATGCAGTCACTGCTCTCTCTCCACCTGGTCCGGTCTCCTAATTTCACAGCCGGCCTCCCTTGCCACCTTTGTAGACAACCTTATTGTAGCTTGAGGAAGTTTTGTATTTGCTTGAACCTTCCATTTCATCTCATTCACCAGGAGCCCTCGGTGGCTTAGTGAGTTAAACCCCTGTGCTGGCAGGACTGAAGACCGACAGGTCACAGGTTCGAACCCGTGGAGAGTGCGGATGAGCTCCCTCTATCAGCTCCAGCTCCTCATGCAGGGACATGAGAAAAGCCTCCCACAAGGATGATAAAACATCAAAATATCCGGGAATCCCTTGGGCAACATCCTTGCAGACGGCTAAGTCTCTCATACCAGAAGCAACTTGCAGTTTCTCAAGTTGCTCCTGACACGACCAAAAAAAAAAAAAAAGCAGCAACCCAAAATATTCTATCTTCCAATCCCAGGGTTCACTCCTCCTTCGCCCTCATACTGGGTTGTTCGTAGGAATGACCTTAGCACAGGTATGGGCAAATCCAGGCCCAGGGGACAGATGCAGCCCCTTGGCCTATTTTCTCAGGCCCTTCTCTGTGTCACCATCATATTTTTCCTTCCTTCTTTTTTCCTCCCTCCCTCTCTCCCTTCTTTCTTTACCTCCCACTTTCTCCCTCCCTCCCTTCTTCCTTCCCTTCCACCCTTTTGTCCTTCCCTCCTTTACTTTTTCTCCCTCCTTCCCCTCTCTGTTTTTCCTTCCTTCCTACCTATCTACCTACCTACCTACCTACCCTTTTGTCTTTCCTTCTGTCTCTCTTTCCTCCCTCCCTCCTTCCATTCCCTTCCACCCTTCCTCCCTCCCTTCCATCCTTCTCTTCCTCCCTTTCTTCCCCCCTCCCTTCTCTTTTTCCTTCCTCCTGGGGAATGTTTAGCTGGGAGAAGAGATGGTAGAGAGGGAACATGAGAACCATGTTTCAAGAATTAAAAGGTGTCCCATTGAGGAGGAGGGGAAAACTGACTTTCTGCTTCTCTAGAGACCAGGGCACAACGGAACAATGGTTTCAAATATCAGGGAAAGAGATTCGACTGAAAAGATTAGGAAGAACTTCCTGAGAGTAAGAGCTGTTGGAGATTGGCCTTGACTGCCTCAGAGTGTGATAGAGTTTCCTTCTCTTCAGAGGCTGTCTATCGGGAGTGCTTCGATTGCGCCTTCTTGCATGGCAGAGGGTTGGACTGGATGGGCTTTGAGGGTTTCTTCTAGCTCTAGGACTTTAGGATTCTATATCAGGAGTAGGCAATACAGGGTGTAATGGATACACTTTTTCTCTCCCATCCACCATCTCATCCTGACAAGACCAATCCTTTTGGGATACAGGCTTTTCCTCTCTCCTTCACTTTCTGCCTCCAAAAGAGAAGAGGAAGGGGAGGAAAGGGCAGGGAGGGGGCTTGGGAAGAACCACCTCCCTCCCGGCCCACCCACCCCGCCATGCGGCCCTCAAGTTAGAAAGTTTGCCCATGCCTGCCTTAGCAGTTCCTGGTTTGGTGTTCCGCTCCCACACATCTGAGAATGAAAAACGAATCCTTCATCTCAGCAGCACTAGCTGTGTACCACATCCCATCATCCCGTGTTACAAAACACATGCAAAAACACAATAAACTAGCATGGCAGGACCTATGATCCCGATAAATCCTGTATTTGATCCTAATCAACATGGAGGAGTTGGCACTTAGTGTTCCGTCGCGCGCTGGGCCTGTAAATAATTGTCTTTAAACAGGACGTGCAACCTTTGCCCAGCGGGAAGCCCAAATAGAAGTTCTCAGAGGTTTTCCACCACAAATGGTCTTTAGATGGCTTGTGAAATATAACAAAGTCCTTTATTAATGAACAATCAAACAGAAACTTCTCTTTTCTTCAGTAAAGTTAAACAAAAGGTTCCAGGCTTTTATGCAACTGGTGGCTTCCTAAACTTGCCCACGAAGGACAGGCAACTGTCTTCAATAACTTCTTCTTTACTTTAAAGGAAAATCCCCTTTTTAAACTTCTCCCAGGCTGACTGTAATCTAACCCTTACTGATGTGGGCTCCGCTACCGGGTCTAACTGCGTCTCAAACGTCGAGTGGACCTACCAGTAAAGGCTTAGATATTCTCCAGCTGGAGTTTGGTCTTTAGAGCTGTTTTCCTGGAAATCTTTGGAAACTCTTAAGACTGTTTCCCCCCGGAAAGTCTTAAGGGCTGAAGCTTTTGTACAGGGGAAGCTTGCACATGTCCAGTACATTAGCTTTCCTTGCTGAGACTAACTAAAAGATGGCTCCCTTCCCTTCCCAATTGCCCTGAGCAAGGGGCGGAACCAAAACTTAACGATGATGGACAGGTGACTTGCCCTATGACTGCAACCAAAGGAAGCTACCTTTCTGCAGAACCCTGAAACCTAGGACTGCAAGCAACATTTAATACAAAGCAAATAAAGTTGGAGCTCCTGGTACAGCGTACCAGCATACAAGCACTGAAGTACTTGACTTTATGGTGCTCA